CTGTGCCCGGGACACCCAAAGAATGCTGCAAAGGATCCTAATTGTGAGAAGGCAAATTGACAGTTGCTTCCACCAGCGCAAACCACCCAAAAAACACACTGACCACCTTGCGAAGCAATCCGCGCCTGCGTCCATTTGGAAGTACGTCCGAAAGTGCGTGGCAAGCTGATTATTCATTGCGAGCTCCTAAGTGTGTATCTTGGGAAGACATTTTGCGAGATCCTAAGACAAAGCATGAAATTTGCACAACAAAACCGATGTCCGGACGCATGACAACATGCTCTTTGCGGAATCATGTTTCCACCACTCAGGCTGCGAAGGATGCTTACAATGCGCCTACAAACTAACTGAACAGACAAGCAGCCGTACCAAAACAAGCTGAATATTGAAAAATCATCACCACCACGCGAATGTCGCGGAGGACTTCGACATAGTCCCACATCGACGGCTTGGAGGTCTTGCCGGTCACTGCGGGATCATATTTACGCCCCGTCGGCATGTCCCAGCACCTTTGCACAACAAACTTGCAACTTGTATCACACGGCGCGTCTAAGGACGAGCGGCAAGAGCTTCATGGAAATCGCACACAGGACGAACATCACCGCTGGCACCGCCATGGACACACGCCAGGCAACGTTCGGTGCCAACCCGGAAGCCACCATTGGGTTGAACAGAACCGACATCATGAAGATCCTTGGCTGCGTCACATAAACCAACATTCACCGTGTGGGTCTCCATGCCCGCACGCAAGTCATGGGAAACTTCATTGAAGCACAAGCTTCTGGGTCACACCACCTCCCAAGTTGCCCCAACCGGCTGCTGTAGCATTTGCTGTGCCAACAACCTTACTCAATTGTCCATTGTCTGCGGTACAAAAATTTTTAATACTGCTCAAGTAATGACGACGTTGAGTCGGCTAGAGCTATGCGTACGTTGCAGGAATTGGGTTTGTTACCATGGGCGGGGTTGTCACACATCAGTTGGTGAGAATATGCATCTCCCCATGTAGACGTTGTTTCACATGCATTTGGGCCACCCTACACCAGCAAATCCCATCGGAGACGCTGTGTTTGGAAGAGCCGGAAGGAGTGCTCATGTCGCCTACCCTACCTCATCCGACTCGGAGCCGACTCGGGGGCCGCTCTCTCATCCCCTTGGAAGTAGTACGTTTCACACCTGCCCGGTCTTCTTGGGGGCCGACTTGTGGGGATTTTGCATCAGGAAACCCGGGGAAATCCCGTCTGTACTAAGGGATCTTACAACAGGAGCCACAGGAACATTGATTTTGCTGTGGGATTTTGCAACAGGTGCCCAAGGGAAATACTGCATGGGGTTTGTGTTGTAGTACGTCTCGCCTCTCGCCACCTGCGTGGCATGGACCAAGCCGCACCTAATCCGTAGAAAAAGAAGCTCGCATCATCTCAGAAACCACAATGCACACGCACGGTGGCCTTGACCTCTCCCAGCAAGCCTGCGCTTGCACAACTCGAGTGGTTCATCTGCAGCATCTGGCCATCTGAAACGAAGTGCCCACACTGTCCGAAGAAGAAGGGCGCTTTCCTCAAAGCGAAAAACAACATGATGCCAACCCGGCGTAAGATTGCATCTGCACCATGGGCACCTGTAGCAACACTGGACCCTGCTTCCCAGAGTTGTGACGAACTTTATCGTAGGCAGCAGGTGACAGTGAGGCCCCACAGCATCACTCCCCTCTCGTCAGCTCTTGCGCCACGGCTTCCAATCGAGGAAACGGACTACCCGAGATCTATACGAATCCTCGTTGAGGCTAAATGACTAGAAATCACAAGCAAACTTTGCGTTATGGCCTGCCCGGTTTTCACCCTAGGGCTTCGACTGGCAAAACTTCAGCATCGGTGTTGGAGGACTTGATGCCCAAAATCTTTGCACAATTCATGAGGGCATTGGAAGTGATGCCAGACGCTCGGAGCTGGAGCTCGTCACACAGGCGGCCATACACAAACTTTGTTTTGGACTTGTTTTCCATGAGCCCAAGCCTCTCGCACCAGGAATCCCATCGCACCATGTTGTTTTCTGCTTTGTTGGGGGACTGCATGGCCCCTGCGCGGTCATCCAACATGGTGGCCTGCTGCGTAAGATCATTGGGTTCGTCAAGCTGTTGAACATCAAGCAAGGCCTCTATGAGGAGGTTGACCAAAGCAAACGGCACGCGCGCGCGCTCACACGGCGGGAAATCCTGCGTGTAGTAGATGGGCAATCGCCAGCTCCGGGGTAGCTCGGTCAGAACACTGCTGTTGATCAAGACTAGTGACAGCCTTTCAGCCAAGTCTAGGCACTGAGTCCTCTGGCAAGCACCAACTTGCAAATCCGACAGTGCACCGGAGAAGCAGAAAAATCAGAAATGGGACGCAGCTTGTCAACAGGGATGGGTCCAGATGTGAGCTCAAAACCCTCTTTCGGTATCAAAATCATCCTGCAGTGTCAAGAAACCTGTGGGAAATGATTGACCGTCGTCCATTTTTCCAGGAGCGCAGATAAGCTCTTCCACACATGAGCGGAAGATGGGAGGTCTCACTGCCAGACCATCCGTCTAGCCCTGCAGCATCCAAGGAACACGGGAGAGACGCGTTCCTTTTTCTTCCTCCTTCCCCCGCTGCAATTGTTGGATGTCCCACGCAGAGACGAGCACACCCGGGCCCCCCGAAAAGATCTGCTCCTCCTTGACTACTGGCCGGCGACGCCATCGGCAGCGCCACCAAGAGCACCTCGTCAACAGTTCTCCCTGAGATCGAGTTCTAAGAGCGCGCATCCCTTGGAGCGGTAGTCGCGTCGGCCCTTGGCCACGTGGCTGAGAACAGCACCGTTGTAGGCCAGGCAAGACGCCTTTGCAGCGAGTTAAGAAGGCCGCGCACAGCCAAGCCAAGTGATCCTAGGAGGGGACCTGATCCTGCAAGCAAAACGGACATTGCCACTGAGGCCTGCCTCCCGTGATCATAGCCTCATACGCAGCCATACTGTTAGAGGCACCGACAAGCACCCCAGCGCGCTCAAGATTGTTGCGCCTAAACATCTCGGAAACGCGACGCAAAACAGAATCGTCAAGCACCATGCCCCTACAAGCAACGCTATCCAAGGGTTCTGCATGAACTCCTCCCACAGCTTGAGCCTCCAAGATTGCCTCATGAGGTGAAGCACCCTGTCCTTGGAGTCCCTGAGCACGCTAAACCGACCAACCATATCATGAGTCCACGCATATAGTCACCTTGCGAAGTCCACCCAAGCTTACGCAGAGAAAGATCAGCATTGCGAGCCCATTGAGGGAACCAGCAACAGAAAAGGCCAAACCATGCCTCGCCGCGTCACAGAGCCCAGCAACCGCACGCCCAGCGCAACAGAAAGCAGCGTCTTGGCCATGGCCGTCCAACAAAGTGCTGAGGACAACGGAGGCCTTCTTTTGCATGCCGCCAACGAGCCGATACACTTTGGAAAGGGCCCTGACCCAATCCGAAGGAACCTGGCGCGGAAAAGCGACTTCCGGAGCCAAACAGGGAGAGCAGCTCGCGCCAACTTGCGGCCCCTGGCCAGACCAGCATCCCAACGCACACCAGCAGAAACACCAGGATCACGCACAGCAGACGTCAAGTAATCGACACCAAGAATGCGGATCTGGTTGACAACTTGATCCCTCCAATAGCCCCTCCTCTCACAGGCAAGCCTCTGCCAGCCATCATGAACGAGGATACGAGTCTTAGCGGAGTTGTCAACAAGCCCAAGCCGCGCCGACCAAAGGGACCAAAGGTCACACGCCCTAAGCAGGGAACGGTAAGAAACCTATCATCCAGAAAAACACACTGGCCGACGCCAAGGGAGGCAACGTCAAGGACAGCATCGTTCAACGCAACCACAAGCCCCAAGGTAGAAAGCGGGTCCCCTTGAGGAAGGCTCGACGCAACCAGCTCGGGACGCTGGACGACGGCGCGCCCAAGAACCAGCCAGCGAAGCTGATCGCACCAATCATGCCGCGCCAAGCCAAGCACGCCCTCAGGCCAACCATGCAAGCGAAGCTTAGCCAAGACAAGCTCCGAAGCACTTAGCATAGTCCAACGACATGGCCACGTGTTTGCGGTCAAGACGCGAGACCAACTGGGCGACGGCACGTTCGACGTTGCGGCCCTTGATCGCCCCGTAACAGTGACGCGAAGCAACACCATCAAGCTAACGACCTACCACAGGACTCTGGACGACACAGCTCATCAACAAGCGGTACCAAATGGAGCAAACCGAAATGGGCCGCAGGTCCTTAACCATGAAGCTGCCGTCAGGAGAAGTCATTCTTACGGGCAGAAAGGACCATCTCACAACCATCGCAAATCCAGGTCACATCTTGAGATGAGGCGCAGCTTCAGCGTGGTCTTCTCCCTTACTATCAGAGGGGAACTGCCTGCGGCTCCCAGAAGTGAAGCCCGTGAGGGCGGGAGAAGCCTTGCTCTTAGTTGGGACCCTTGGTGGAGGCACAAGTTAAGACTACCCTTGCGCCTGCCGAACGCACAGAGGCACAAGCTTCTGGCGGCACCCCTTCTACTGCCAACTTGAAGGACTCCGAAAGAAGCGCAGCCAGCGCCGCGTCGTCACACTCAACCCACTCCCAATGCTGCTTGCCATATCTGAGAACGATGCTACGCCCATCCCCCACAGAAGGAAGATCATACCTGCCAACACGACCAACATCCTCATCAATGATAAGGCACTTGCGTCCAAAGGACGTCGCCCACGCACACAACTCAAGCTCACCCCACAAGCCCCAACTTTACCAAGAGCCTGCAAGTACCCCTCGAAAGACTTGTCCGTAGGGGTGTCATCTGGCACGCGTGCATCCCAGCACTGCGCGAGGTCCTTCTGACGGGAGTCCATCCAGGCAACAAGGGCACCCCGGATTTGACGGTGGTTCCTGCTTTTGTTCTCAACATGGGCAAGAGCGTCAAACAGGCAGTTGCCTTGCCCCGTGTTGGGATGGACTTTAACAGTAGGAGGCAAAAGCTCCAGCCTGGGCTTTTTTGCTGTTGCCATCGCCCTCAACCGCACGTTTGCGAAGGATTTTGGTGTCGCCAGGCACACTATCCTCCATAGCCTCGCTTTGCTGGCCACCAGGCCCGGCCCCGGCGTTAGCCCCAAGGGATAAAGGAAGCTCAGTGACAGGTTTGTTCTGAAAACCAACTCGTTGCCTTCTCTCTCCCCTGAGCGGCTCAGGAAAACCTAGGTTCCTTAGCAGCTTTTCTTTGACCCTCCCTAACAGCTTCAAGGAACAACTGGCCTTCATCATCTTCTAAAACGATGGGTACAAATCCTTGCAGTCGGGACGACAAGCTCTGCAGACCCACGCACTGTCAATCGGACGCTTGTATTTAGAGATCAGCTGGACCCCCTCGAACCCAGCTTCCTGAAGGGCCTCGATGACAGTCTCTCCCACCCACTGCCTGGGAACGGGTTCAAGCCGTGCTTTAAGGGCCGTTTCTGGGGTCCGAAGCTGCGACCTCCCTCCAACCGCAAGACCAAGACCCTCAGTGTCAAGCAGGACGCGGGCAAGATACTGGCTGTCCGCCTTTTCTGGGAGCCTGGCCTGCCACACAAGGGCAGGGCGCTCAAGCGAGAGGTCTTCCCAGTTGAGGGGCTGAAGGAACCAAGCAAGCCCTTGACTGGACGCCCCACTGTACGCAACAAGCTGCTGAGCGATGGACAACGGGACTCGCACAAGCCCTTGAACAACATGTGAGTGCTCCCAGGACCACGTATCCATGAGTTGGTTCGCTAAATCCGCGTTGAGCCTTCCACACCATTTGCGAAACAAAGGACCCGGCTGCTTGACCA